TAGAGCAACAATAATTAAAACTAATAACAACTTTTAGTAATTAATCATTCTTTCATAAACTATGTTTAATAAAACAAATTCAAACCCCTCTTTTTCTTTGAAATCAGTTAATTAATATACTAAAATGTTCTCCTAAGAGTGACAAAATCTTTCCTGAAACCATCAAAATTGGTTCAGCTAAACGCTAATACATACATTTTTTTTATAGTATGAACCGGTAAACGTGCAGACGGATCACCTGATGGTAAGCAATCGGCGTCGCCCATGGACACTCGAAACACCAAGACGTTACAAGTGCGTTACCGGCCATTTGGGAATTGGGAATTTGAGAAGACGGGGACTAGGGAGGGGGGTAATTGGGCCTCCGGGAACCTCACTCACACGACGAAACACAACGCAAGCGTTGTTTCACATCGGTTTTCTGCTCGGCCGTGGTATCAGTCCGGTCGAGCCGGCCCATTAGTGCCGAAGCATGGCTCTCCCACACTTACTATTATACAGTTCCATCAGTGAACCTCCTTTTTGGAGTCGGTTAAAAATTACAATTGTCTGTGATTAAAGTATACATTTATTCTTTTTATAGGTATTGTGTTACCAGCCAATTAAAAAACATAAACCCTCACTGATTGATGAGATCACTCATTTATACAGAATATTGTCATGTTGTGGACCAATTATGTTTTTATAGTCTTCAAACAGCAAAACTATGTAACTAGTAAATTGTATTGTGAACCTGATTGAAAAAGAGTAACCTATGGAGTTTCTTGCTCGTTCTTCTCCATAGGAATCTACGCCTTGGAATGAGCAAATAGCTTCACTTTCAATTTTTTTTTGTTGACGTTCTAAAGTGCCATTCTGGCCTAATTGAAATAAATGATTTTGACTTTGACTTTGACACGTGATTCCAGACTGCCTCGTTGGCCGAGTGGTCGCAAGTGCGACTACCGGGCATGGGGTCTCGGGTTCGATTCCCGGGTCGGGCAAAGTATTAATGGGTTTTTTGAAAAATTTCCCAGTACGGAGTTTGGAATTGTGTCTGGTATATGGCAAGAGGCTCACCTCCTATTACATGGGACTCATAACATAAATAGAGAAAAGTGGGTGTTAAATTGTACAGTGGCATTAAGTGCCGTAATGTGCACCTCTGCCTACCCCTATGGGGATAAAAGTCAAATTCATTTATTTGCAAGATAATTATACATATTTCACAAAGGAAAATCGACAAAGGAAGGCGTGATGTTATGTCCACGTGATTGTAGCTTCTATCTATTTTATTGCTGTGTTAATTGTCAAGACAAAGGTAATAGGTAAGACACAATGAGTCCTATGTAAACTGTTGAGACTCTAGTGCCCTTTAAGTGTGTCGATAGTTAGCATTAGGTAACCATTATCACCAACCTTTCTTAAAATTTAATGAACCCGTAAGCTATGTGACAATCAACGACGTTTTGATTTTGAATACCCAATAAGTGACATCTATACGTACAGGTACAGGGTGGCCAAGCTAAATAACTCTTAGTTAAGAGATGGGCTGCCTCATTGGCTGAGTGGTCGGAAGTGCCACTGCCGGGTAAGGGGTTTTGGGATCGATTCCCGGATCGGGCAAAGTATTACTGGGTTTTTAAAAACTGTCAGTAGTAGCACGGAGTGTAATGTTATTATCATTTGTAATTAAAAACTTGACTACCTCGTTGGCCGAGTGGTCGCAAGTGCGACTGCCGGGCAAGGGGTTTTGGGTTCAATTCCCGGGTCGGGCAAAGTATTATTGGGTTATTAAAAAATCTCAGTAGTAGCACGGTGTGTGGAATTGTGCTAGGTATATGACAATAGGCTCACCTCCTATTACATGGGGCTCATAACTTAAATAGTGAAAAGTGGGTGTTACATATTGTACAGTGGCATAATGTGCACCTCTGCCTACCCCTTCGGGGATAAAAGGCGTGATGTTATGTTAAGAGATGGTTTAGTGGTGGTTAGCAGAAACTGCCATTAATGTATTGCTAATCCATTTTAGTGCATTCTATAAATACCTACATGTAAAATAAATTGTAAATTAAGTGTAGACATTAAATTTTAGTATTATTACTTATTTTATTAAAGCTAATGATAATAATTCAATATGACTTTACGATCTAAGTATTAGTATTAGTAATTTAAATAAAACTATATTATGTTCTTGTAATGGTGATGTATCATAAATTTGATTAGGTATAACTCTAATAAAAGATTCACGTGTTGTAAATATTTATTGTTTGGTCAATAGTTAGGGCATTATTATTGTAATTTACGTTAATTTTAGGGATATTAACGTTTATTAAACTGTCAAACACCAAGCGGTCACCGGTGACCGCAACCTATTGTTTTATAATTGTGTCTATAATGACGGTACTCGACGAGTTAAATTATTATTTGAAAATTAGTTAAGTAGTCATAACAAATCATTGGCTGCCTCATTGGCCGAGTGGTCGCAAGTGCGACTGCCGGGCAAGGGGTCTCGGGTTCGATTCCCGGGTCGGGCAAAAGTATTACTGGGTTTTTCAAAAAAATCCCAGTAGTAGCACGGAGTCTGGAATTGTGCCCCGTATATGGCAATAGGCTCACCCCCTATTACATGGGACTCATAACATAAATAGTGAAAAGTGGGTGTTACATTGTACAGTGGCATAATGTACACCTCTGCCTACCCCTTCGGGGATAAAAGGCGTGATGTTATGTAGTCATACCAAATCCTATCTATGTTTGAGATTTGCAGAGTAGTGTGGGAGAGCCATGCTTCGACCGGCATGAGCCGGCCCATTCGTGCCGAAACATAGCTCATGGCTCTCCCAAATATTTTCTATATTTTGTATATTTTCTTCCAAGAATATAATATAACCGAACCACATTTCAACCAAGTTCACGGACATCTAAATAAATCACCAGTCACGTCTTAGTCTAACTAAATATTAGTTCTCCACGTATGCTGAGCTAACAACGTAAATTCCTCGCAACACAAATAGTTTGCAGTAGCTACTGTGTAAGACCAAATGTCCTCTTATCTGATACTACTTAAAGAAATGATTTATTACAATTAGTACTGAGTTTATGTCAACTGAGTCATCGTCTGTTTCTATTCTATTATTATATTTTTTGATTGTTACATTATCTAATTGCTAAGCACGAGGAGAATGGGGCTAATGTATTTTGGCCACCAGATCATCATCATCAACAGCCGAAAAACGTCCAATCCTGGACAAAAGCCTTCCCTCTCCTACTCCTCCACGTCAAATGACAACTCGCCACCTGCATCCACTGGCTCCCCAAAGCTGTATGCGATGCGATGTCGTCGGTCCACCTAGCTCGCTTCTTCTTCTGGTCCATGGTCTCCACTCAAGGACTTTCCTAGCCCATCTGCGGTCAGTCCGTCGAGTGACGTAGCCTGCCCATTGCCACTTCAGTTTGCAGATTTTACGAGCTATGTTGGTAACTCTGGTTCTTTGGCGAATTTCCATATTTCAAATTATGTTACTCAAAGAAAATCACCCACCAGATAATGCGTAGCCAAAAATACGATAGCTCCATTGGACGCCTATGTCATGCAGTAGCAAGCCACATGCTGAAGAAAATTCTTCACCTCGGTAGTCTCTTTGGTAAGAAAAAACACAAAAATAGGGACACTGTCCACGTTTCGTCATTTGACGAATGCATGCATCCTTCTCAAACAATAGGCGAGCTTACGTTGCCGCTTCGTTGACAGTTTTCATTGTTTCTACAAGATGCAAGCATTTGTCATTTGTAGGTCACCTAGTATTATATCCCTTATTATTATATTTCTGTTGCCCAATTAATATCTTCTGATTTATTTCGTTGCGGGATCCTAGAAAGTTATTCATGTCCCTGGGACGCACCGGACTTCAGTGTTCCGGTGTTTTCTGGGTCGTATCTTCTGTAGATCCTGGTTTAAAGAAGTTGCAGCGGTTTTGCGAGGTTGTGGCGGGCTTGTTCCATCCTTTTTTACTCACATGGTGATTCGAATGGAAGTCCTAAATACCAACCCTGATATCTATCTTCTACACAGTATGAGTATTTAATACATATAGTTTTTACCGTTACCTAGTAACCACTCCTTTCTAAAGTACTATTTACTTTATCAATTGACACCCTCTGAAATATTTCAAGAAATCTATTTCAAACTACTCAAGGTCAATATCAGTTCAGCTTCCATTCAGCCTGCTTATCAGTGATCAGTTGTCACAGATTAAGTGAGAGATCACGACTTGTGTGTGACGTCAAGGTATTGTTATTTCGTTTTGCACTTATCAAGAGCATCATCCTGTGTGTTCGTGGAACTGATGAGCATCTTCGTGGTATAGAGGAAATAGTTGAGACGTTTTTGAGAGAATGGGTGTATTGAATTTGGTAATGTGAGCTTTTGTGCCTGGAAATTTTTACCGTGTGTGTAATTTTAGGCGACTCCAAAATTAACAAAATTAACTCGTCGAGTACCGTCATTATAGACACAATTATAGAACAATAGGTTGCGGTCACCGGTGACCGCTTGGTGTTTGACAGTTTAAGAGAGTTTCTCGATTAATTTACGTGTGTAACGCTCAAATATTATAAGGCTATTCAATTTTAATTTGTACTTCAATATCATGCCTTCTCTTTCATTTACCAAAGAATTTGTAGAGACAAAACGATAGTTAAACGCGACTTAAATTCAATTGTTAATGACTACACGGTTGGTGCGGTAGCTGGGCAATCGGCTGCCGTGCAACATGTCGCGGGTTCGATTCCCGCACGGAACAACACTTTGTGTGAACCACAAATTGTTGTTTCGGGTCCGGATGTGATGTGTATGTGAACTTGTATGTTTGTAAACGCACCCACGACACAGGAGAAAATCCAAGTGTAGGGTAACATTTAAAAAAAAAACCATTTTTGTGCGCTTTTCAATTTGTGTCGAACTATATATTACATCGATACTCCCTACCTAATTTTAGATTATGTAAAGTACTTACTTGTACGTCGCGATCTTCTTGTCGAAGCAGAATCTCTCCTCGCAGCAGTTCCAGTACATTGTCTCCAGACAGCTGTGGAACAAACAGATTGTCTATCAAATCACTAATAATATAATACATGATTTGGTTTAAAAGTTTCTGGATGAAACAGAAGTAATTATTTGTATTTCTTTTCTTTTTATGGCTTTAACAGCAGAGGAGATGCAAGCGCGTTGCTAGGCTTTCTTGAAACGGATTCAAGTACTTATTGCTCATTACCATTTATATTGTTCCGAATGTGAGAGAGCCATGCTTCTGCACAAATGGACTAGCTCGACCGGAGTCATACCACGGCCTCACTGAAGACCGACGTGAAACAAAGCGTTGTGTTTCTTGGGTTCGATTCCCGAGTCGGGCAAAGTATTACTGGGTTTTAAAAAAAAAATCACAATAGGAGCACGGAGTTTCTGCCCGGTATATGGCAATAGGCTCACTCCCTATTACATGAATAGTGAAAAGTGCGTGTTATATTGTACAGTGGCATTAAGTGTCGTAATATGTACCTGCGCCTACCACTTCGGGGATAAAAAGGCGTAATGTTATGTTAAGCTTAACAACCATAATATTATCACAAATTATAGTATAAGGAAATTTGTTATTTTACCTATTCGCATTATATGAATAGAATCAAAACAGGTATAGTTGCAGGTGAACTTTAGCATGCATGTACAGTCACTCTTTACCAGTTATTGTATTTGTTATTCAAAAAGAATAATTTATTTTTAATGGGAACCCAATGCCTTTTTACCTTATCCTCATCATTTGCACGAGCAATCATCATTTGACCTACGCATAGAATAGTATCTACTTATTTAGAGCAGTTCATTTAGATCTTAATTATAAACATTACACTCCACACCAAAAATACAATAAGCTAGGAAAATTCTTGCACTTCAAATAAAGAACAAATAAAATTCTGAACCATGCCAAATAGTCATTTCCCCTTTGTTATTTTTAACCAATTTATCATGGTCCCGCTTTGTATGACCTTCCCTCACATTCCACGATCAATTTATACTGGTGTTAATTTTTTTTATGGGACCAGCTCGCCACAACCTCCCAAAACCGCTGCAACTCCTGTAAGCCAGGATCTGCAGTAGATACAACCATGAAAACACCGGAACACTGAAGTCGCGTCCCAGGGACATGAGTCTTGGTTCCCGCAACGAAGTAAATCAGAAGATATTACAAGAGGAGAAGAAGAAAAAACGATAGTTTTCACTTCCCTCGGAGAATTACGGAATAAATTAAGCCTAAAGGCACAAAGAAAGGACTGTACAACTGGGTGAAGCCCAATCGCCAAGCACCACGGAAATTTGACTAAAAACTAAGTGGGTCCTATATGTGAGCTGTTATACTCGCTTCCAATAATAGGTACTGGTATATATGGTATATATTGATGTGCAACTTAATATTTGTGTAAACTAAATAAGACATTTAAAAAAACCCATTCTGAGAAAATGACGTAGTGTCTGAACCACAAATAATATCAGTACATAACCTGTTCTTTCTGTATCGTACGATATTTACGTTGATAAAAATCTGATTCATAAACAAACCTACATCGAACTTGACTCACCCGTTTACTAGTTACAAACACACAAATAAACACATAACAGAATTATTTTAAGAGCAATTTAATACTATTTTTCTCCGTTAAATTTTTAAGATACGACTTCTCCGTCTAAGAGTGACAAGAGAACTGAGTTCAAAATGTGTTGAATAATTAAAAAACATAATAGACAAACTGACTTTGTAATTAGTTATTTGTGAATGTGTTTTTAATATGAATGAAAATGGGTAATGTTTGTTAAGTTGGCGCTTGTAATGCTAATTTTAAATTTATACTCTATGGAACGATTTTTTTTTAAAACAAAGTTAACTCAGCACTTAGTCTTAGTTCTGGGAGTAAACAGTCTGTTCAAACGTTTAAAAATTATTTGGATAATGACCGCAAGTTGAATAGTCATCGTAAGTTGTCATTGTTTTGTCACCGTGGTTAGTAAAACATGTTAGGTCCTGAACCTGGAGATAACGCTTTGCTCATCATGAGAATTAAACTTGTGAACCGTTACTCTGCAACCACTAAACCAACAAGGTAGAAGTAGATAGATTATAGAATATGGAAATGCGATAGTTTTATCTTCTTGCCCTAAAAAGTATGTCATTCATCTTGCTTGCATTGTTCTCTGTGATTGTGTCTGATTACCGGATTATCGATTAGGATTATCATGAGAGTAACGGAACAAAGAACATTTGGGTGTTTTATATTATTATGTACACATAATTTCCCATTTTAGATATCACATTCGTGAGAAAGATTCTTACTTATATTTTAAATTTAGTGATACATACTAAATTAATTATTATGTTTTTCGGCTTACTCGCGTCATTGTTTAACGAGGAAATCGACAAGTTTTAAGCCATTTTGAGGCTCATATTCATGTACAGTATTTCGCAACCCGCGACGCGGCGGCTGTCGCGTTGCTACTAAACTAGTCGAGTTCCTTGTCAAATAATTACGTGAGTAAGCCGAAAGACATTTTAAATAATTTAGAGATTCTTACCTTTAACTTCTTAGTAGAATTAAGTATCACACTACACCGCACTATTTTATAAAATACACACCTGTATCACAAGGTGACTTTCATAAAGTTGCTTACATATCTAATAACAAATAATTGATACGTCTAACTTCAACTAGTATGCACTTTGATTGATAAATGCCTCGCAATCACTGACAATTAAAATTAATGGAAACTACGACATTGACATCAACTGTTTCATTACTGTAATTAAACTCACAGTAAAATTCTAAGAAACACTAGAATCATAATTAAACAACACTTATAAAAACACCAAATGGTACAATCAATCGAACGCTTCAGCGAAGTCACAAAATATCACTGGCCACAGAACAGCGCCTTGCGAATTCCAGTGTTAGTTTAAAAAAGTCAAGGACATAAAATCACTGGAATTTCCATTGCAAGTACCATTCCACAGAACACGTCTCCTGTATGTAACGTCTTGTACTAAGAAGATATGCGTCGAATGAGGTTTTATCTTGACACTGATTGACATTATCAAGAGCAGTGGCACTTTGTGTAACGTGATCATCTGTGGCTTGCATGTGGTGTTAATGTGTTAATGAATTATAGAATTAGTGTGGTCTTGTTAATGCATTGTGCACTTAAATACAATGATTGTAAGGTTAAATGTGGTAGATTGAGTATTAATATTTTGTCAAAATAAACATTATGTTTAGCCCTCGTTTGATACACGCCTACGTGTTAGTGTTAATCCTACTAATATTATAAATTAGAAAGTTTATTTATTGGCCTTCATGCCAAAACGGTTGAAGAGACATAACATAACATAACATCACGGCTTTTATGCCCGAAGGGGTAGGCAGAGGTGCACATTATACCACTGTACCATGTAACACCCACTTTTTACTATTTATGTTATGAGTCCCATGTAATAGGGGGTGAGCCTATTGCCATATACCGGGCACAATTTCAGACTCCGTGCTACTACTGTGAATATTTAAAAACCCAGTAATGTTTTGCCCGACCTGGGAATCGAAGACCCCTTGCCCGGCAGTCGCACTTACGACCACTCGGCCAACGAGGCAGTCGTTTGAAGAGTTTGGGATGAAATTTGTAACAGGCATAGGATATGGTCTGGAATGACATGACAATTACCGACTTAGGAAAATGAAAATTATATGTAATTATTACCAACAACTACGAGCAATGTAACAATTATCTCAAAGGATATATCCATATCCTGTCCACATTATGAACACGAAATTGTATTGCTTACGTTATTATTTTTTCAATTGTAATCATTTCTGACATATTGATAGTGCATATTTAACATTTACGTAAATGGAAAATCTGAAAATGGAAAATGGTTTATTTTCGACAGATACGAAATGTTGACTGTTTATTTTTACGTTGATCTAGATAAGACGTATTGCCTTAAGCGTCGTGACCTCGTAAACAAAACATATTTTATACATAACATAACATCACGCGTTATATATACCCGAAAGGGTAGGCACACACATTACGGCTCTTAATGCCATTGTACCATGTAACACCCACTTTTCACTATTTTATGTTATGAGTCCCATGTAATAGGGGGTGAGTCTATTGCCATATACCAGACACGATTCCAGACTCTACGCTACTACTGAGGTATTTTTAAATACCCAGTAATACTTTGCACTACCCGAGAATCGAACCCAAGACCCCTTGCCTGGCAGTCACACTTGCGACCACTCGACCAACGAGACAGTCGAGATATTTTATACAATCCTAGCAGCCCGTCCCGGCTTCGCACGGGGTAGACAATTATTTATTTTTGGAAATTTGGATTGTTGTAGTGACACAACTACAATAGTTGGACATATGCTACCGTGGAGTTTTTGTAGACATTATGATGTTCTTCATTATTGTTGTACATTATTTTATTCTATCGCTAATAGTTTCGGAAGCGCATTCGACGAAAGACATTTTAAGACTCATTTTTCTACAACTTCAGTTACATTGTTCAAATTTTACCAAGGATCCCTAATTTTTTTCAAAATGAAATGTAGCCTATGTCAAATTGGAAGAATAAACACCGAAGAGACTCTCTCACCGTCTAGACGACCGCCGCTGTTAGTTATTTGTTTTAAATCGGCCCAGTACTTTTTGAGCCTATTCATTACAAACATACAAACATACAAAAATAGATACAAATCTTTCCTCTTTATAATATTGGTATAGATTATATTAAAACGCTTTCAAAAATACCCGGTGCTCCAGTCCTTGTGTTGCAGACCATGGCGCTGATCGCTTACCATTCGATAGTCCGTCTGTTCACTTGCATCTTTACTACATAGTGTAAAACAAAGTCGCTGTCTATCTCTATGTATGCTTAGACCTTTAAAACTACGCAACGGATTTTGATGCGGTTTTTTTTTAAATATATAGAGTGATTCTTAAGGAAGGTTTATATGTATAATACATGCATATTGCACCCGTGCGAAGCCGGGGCGGGTCGCTAGTATCCTAAAGTAAAGAGATATAGATAGATACTTACTACTGGCATGATTTGCACAGTTTGAGCAACATCTTGTCAAGCTCACATAGTGTCCAAACGAATAAAACTCGATGCTCGCAGGGGGACGCAGCTATGTCACTCTCCTAAATGACAGCATTCCTGGAACAAATAGAAATCTTCGTTAAAAATAAGCATTATCTTATTTGCTATAAACTCTTTCATACAATTTTAAACTGTCAGACACCAAGCGGTCACCGGTGACCGCAACCTATTGTTCTATAATTGTGTCTATAATGACTCGACGAGGTACTCGACGAGTTAAGATTGTTTCCTTCTATTGAGACATTCCTACCGTTTCCACGTGTAATATGTAGCCAGTTTATTATGCTTAGTTAGAGGTAGATATTTATCTTCATCTAGTCTTCAACAGTGTAGTCTATTTAGTTTATAAGATTTTCCATAAAAAAATTTGCACACAATTCTTTACCGATTCCGGGTCGATAAAGATAAGGTCGATGTTATAGTCAACCATGTGTTTCAAAGAACACAAACCGTTGATAACTACACCACCTAACGTTGATGGTGCAGCTCAAAGGATTATGATAGTGAGGAAACAGAGAGTGCAATTGTATTTATTTATAGATTATACAAATAACATAACATAAAACATAACATAACATCACGCCTTTTATCCCCGAAGGGGTAGGCAGAGGTATACATTATGCCACTGTACAATGTAACACCCACTTTTCACTATTTATGTTATGAGTCCCATGTAATAGGGGGTGAGCCTATTGCCATATACCGGGCACAATTCCAGACTCCGTGCTACTACTGGGAATTTTTTGAAAAGCCCAGTAATACTTTTGCCCGACCCGGGAATCGAACCCGAGACCCCTTGCCCGGCAGTCGCACTCGCGACCACTCGGCCAATGAGGCAGTCTGTTCTGTGTATTCATACAAGTATAGTATACAAAGCGTCACGACGTCTAGAGAAGGGTTACTCGATGGGATTACGCAGTATAGATAACTGTAACACCCATTCTTTACACGTTTCGAGTCTCATGCGCTTATTGCCACGCAGTGGGTACGATTTCCAATTAATTTAGTAGTAACTCTGAAAATAATTTGAAACTTCTCGTCTTGACTTGTCGTTGAACCCAGGTGCAAGACACCATTGCACCAATCTGTGACCAGAACCGCTGTTTATTCAATCAACTTTTTCTTAGTGACAATTTTCCATCTTGAATGGGTAGCGGTTCAACGGCCAAGTCACACAACATTAACTATAATAATAAAGGGGGGAAAATCATCGAATGACTGCTCCCGCCTGGGTGAGGCGGGAGTGTCAGACTCTTACTGACTAAAAACCACCCCGTTCCTTCTCCTGCACGTCGAGCCGGAGCCCCGGTTATCCGTTAGGTTCTCCGCGACTCCGACCCTGTTGGGCCCCATCTGTGGTGCTCTGATGGCTCTTTGAGTCGCGCGCGGAACGCGACGCGCCGTACGCTCGGGTAAGGAACCTTACACTTGGCACGACTTTGTTTAAATGGGATTAAGTACTTTTTAGAGATGAACGAGCGCCTCCATCGACACCTGGCTAGTATTTTACAGAATGTTTTTGCTTGGATATATCCTATCAATTAAATTCAATATCAAATTCATCATCACAATTATTGTAACCAGGAACTAGTATAAAACACCCACTGAACACATTCTAATTCTGTATATCAACTATCAACATTGACATTAAATGTCTGCCCTCCATTCATTTCTGAGATTGTTCTGAATAACTCCATAACGATGCTATTGTATTCTAATGTGTACTGGCATAGTTGTATCATCAAGGTTGGAGACCTTAAGGGACCTGGTTGCAGTAGAAGGTAAGTCTTAAGTGGGCGGTGTTTGGAATTAGTTGCGAGTCGTGTTGTGGGAAGAAATTTGTAAGAAATATAAGTACCGAAGTTTTTGATTTTTGTAAGTCATTGTGTAGAATGTGGATTTTAAACTAAAGACAGTATAGTCAGTAAGATAATGCCAAAGTCTAATACAATTCTATTCCCCATCTTGGAGACTGAACTACAAATCTATTTTCTAATTTGTGTTTTTTAATCTATCCACTGAATGAAAGAAACTATTGAATAAGTATTTATGATAATATCCTTTATCATCAGCATCATTAACAGCCTATAAGTGCCCACTGCAGACCAAAGGCTCTCTCTTCTCACACGGAGACGGTTTGAGCATTAATCACCACGCTTGCTCAATGTGGGTTGACGATTGCAAACTTAAAATAAGAAACTATAAGTCCAGGTTTCCTCGCGACGTTTTCCTTTACCGTTTGTCAGTGGTGTCTAAATACTCGTAGAAAGTACATATAACTTAGAAACAGTCACATTGATACTTGCCGTTCGTAGCTCTAGGTTTGTACATTGTATTACTATCTTTACATTCACACTATTACCAGTGATATTCAAATATTCACTTAACTTTTCCTCGGAAATCGATCTACCCACTATTAAAAACTGCATTCAAATACGCTCAGTAGGTTTCGATATCATTGCGACCAGACTGAAAAACATTTCCGTGTACAATACAAATAAGGTTCAAAATAATTATCAATAAAACTTAATGTAGACCTATGTATGTGTATAATAATTTACAACTACTTGCATATAAACCACACACATTGACAAGCTATCTAATCATAGTGCACACATACGCTCAGTATCAGATCTTCATATTAGACCTAAGTACCGGCTTCCGATTACATACTACCTAACACTTATTGTATAGCTACACATAATGTAATATGTCCTTGAGAACTGTCTATTATACGGTTCGTCGGCAGTCCCTTCCCTATCATTTAGCAGTCCACAAACGTCTGTTTTTAGCGGAATTTGGTTTCTTCCACAAAAAAACTGTAAAATAAAATTATAACCGGTGGTATTACCAAACCTTTTAA